GCTCAGTGGCCATGGCTCATGGGCCCAGCCGCTCCACAGCATGTGGGATCTTCCCAGACCGGGGCACGAACCCATGTCCCCTGCATCAGCAGGTGGACTCTCAACCACTGCGCCACCAGGAAAGCCCCCCATTTTGTATTTTTAATGTCATATTTAACATCCCCAGGTTTATCTCTTAACTGTTTATTGTAGTTATATTTGCTTTAACAACTTTTTGTCTTTTAATCTTCATTTTGGCTTAGTTAAGTAGTTGATCCTCAGTCCTTACTATATATTTGCTTTTCCTAGTGGGATTTCCCCTTTCCTATAGATTCTTACTTCTTTTCCACTTACAGAAGACCTTCTAACATTTCTTTTATGGTAGATTTAGTATTGATGAACTCTTACTTTTTGCTTTTCTGAGAAGTTCTTTATCTCTCCTTCGATTCTAAATGATAATCTTGCTGGGTAGAGTATACTAGGTTGCAGGTTTTTCCCTTTCAGCACTTTGAATATGTTATGCCACTCCCTTTAGATCTGCAAAGCTTCTGCAGAAAAATTGGCTGCTAGCCTTATGTGGATTCCCTTATACATGACCCTTGTTTTTCTCTTGCTCCCTTCAGAATCCTGTCTTTATCCTTTGTTTGTTTGTTTGTTTTTGGCCATGACCCAAGGCATTGTGGGATCTTAGTTCCCTGATCAGTGATCGAACCCATGCCCCCTGCAGTGGAAGCGCAGGGTCTTAACCACTGTATTGCCAGGGAAGTCCCTCTGTCTTTAACTTTTATCATTTTAATTTTATGCCTTTATGTGGGCCTGTTTGGGTTCATCTTGAGACCCTCTGTGTTTCCTTTACTTGGATATGTTTCTTCAAGTTTGGGAAATTTTCAGCCATAATTTCCTCAAATATATTTTCTTTCTTTTTTAAAAATTTTTATTTATTTTTTAAAAAAGTTTATTTAGTTTATTTATTTATTTTCAGCTGTGTTGGGTCTTTGTTGCCACATGTGGGCTTTCTCTAGTTGCGGCGAGCAGCGGCTACTCTTCATTGTGGTGCACGGGCTTCTCATTGCAGTGGCTTCTCTTGCTGCAGAGCACAGGCTCTAGACATGCGGGCTTCAGTACTTGTGGCACGTGGGCTCAGTAGTTGTGGCTCGCGGGCTCTAGAGCCCAGGCTCAGTAGTTGTGGCGCATGGGCCTAGCTGTTCTGTGGCATGTGGCATCTTCCTGGACAAGGGCTCAAACCCATGTCCCCTGCATTGGCAGGCGGATTCTTAACAACTGCGCAACCAGGGAAGCCCCTCAAATACATGTTCAATCCCCATCTCTCTCCCTTCTTCTGGGCCCTGTATAATTCAAATGTTGGTATGCTTAATGTTATCCCAAAAAATCACATAAATGGGGACTTCCCTGGTGGCGCGGTGGTTAAGAATTCGCCTGCCAATGCAGGGGACACAGGTTCGAGCCCTGGTCCGGGAAGATCCCACATGCCACGGAGCAACTAAGCCCGTGCACCACAACTACTGAGCCTGCACTCTAGAGCCTGCGTGCCACAACTACTGAGCCCATGTGCCACAACTACTGAAGCCTGCACGCCACAACTACTGAAGCCTGCGTGCCTAGAGCCTGTGCTCCACAAGAGAAGCCACTGCGATGAGAAGCCTGCACACCATAGTAAAGAGTAGCCCCCTCTTGCTGCAACTAGAGAAGGCCTGTGCGCAGCAACAAAGACACAGTGCAGCCATAAATAAATAAATAAATAAATAAATATTTTTTTAAAAAGATCACATAAAGTTATCATTTTTTAATTTTTCTTTTTCTTTTGCTGTGTGTGTGTGTTTTTTAAGCCTACAGCACCCAGTATTTCCAGGCAGTCTCTCATCCAAGTACTAACCAGGTTTGACCCTGCTTAGCTTCTGAGATCAGGCACATTCAGGGTGGTATGGCTGTAGACACTTTTGCTGTTCTGATTGGGTGATTTTCATTAGTCTATCTTCCAGATCCCTTATGCATTCTTCTTTGTCATTTAGTCGCTGTTTCTTCCTTCTAGTGTGTTTATTTCAGCTACTTAATTCTTCAATTCTGTTTTTTTTAAATATCTTCAGTTCCTTGTTAAAATTCTCACTGTGTTCATCTATTCTTTTCCCTAATTCAGTTAACATTCTTATTTCCAGTGCTTTGAATTCTTTATCTGGTTAATTATTTCTGTTTCATTATTTTTTCAGGAGCTTTCTTTTGCTCTTTCAGTTGAGACCAATCCCTCTGACTTTTTCTCTTTTTTTTTTTTTTTTTTTTTTTTTGCCCCATTTTATTTTGGTTTTTTTTTTTCTTCCCATCCCTCTTACTTTTTTTTTTTTTTTTTTTTTTTTTTTGGCTGCGCCACATGGCATGTGGGATCTTAGTTCCCTGACCAGGGATCTAACCCATAACTCCTGCAGTGGAAGCACAGAGTCTTAACCACTGGACTGCCAGGGAAGTCCCTTTGACTTTTCATTTTGCTTAACTTTCTCTGCCTCTGTAAATTTAGATGAAAGTTACCTATTGCAGTACTAAAGGGATGTTCTTATGTGGGAGTGTCCCTATACAGACTGCAGGTGCCCAGTGCCTTTGGTGGGAGAGCTGGATTTGTTGTGGACACAATCACATCTTTCCTCAGGGTGTGCTGGCAGCTATCACTTTGGTGGGAGGTGGGGCTGGAGATGGAGTGGCTAGAGCTGGAGCTAGAGTGAGATGGGACTTCTCTGCTCAGTAGCTGTCACTGCCCTATTGGGGGCAGGGTCTGATTCCAAGTTGTTGGAGCGAAGTCCTGAGGGTCAGGCCCAAGCTGGCTCTGTTTTCTTTAGGTGTGTGCTTTCCCCTCTCCCAGCACCAGGCCCCTTGCCCCAGGTCGGGGGCGCTGAAGCAAGAGGGGTGGGGCTTGCATGGGCACTCAGCCCATGTCAGCTATAGACAGAGGTCTGAGCTGTCTCCAATGTGCTGCCCAGGCAGACACCAGCAGTTGCTTCCCTTGCTCTGTTCAGATGCAGCCCTGAGTGCTGGCAAAGTTCATCTTACTCTTTCCAATGCATTCAAACTTTCTTTTTACTGCTTCAGCAGAGTGCTGGAATCTCTCCTCAGGAAACCTGGACTTCTAAAAGGCTCTCTCATCTGTGGGTGTCTGCTCAAATCAGCAGTCTCCAGGTTTACCTTAATTGCAGCCAAGAGGGACTAGGGCTGGTTCACAGACTCCTGCTTGTTCAACAGCCCATACCAAGGACTGTCCCCTATTACTTGATACACAAGTGGTTGAGACTCCTCCCAGGTCCATTGATATACAGAGGCAAGTTGTGGATGTATGCCAAGTTTTAGTTGTTAAAAGGGGATGTGTGTGCAAAATTGATGGGCATCTTATGCCACCATGAGGCTAATGTTATTCTTCAGTGTTCAGATTTTTATGAAGGATCTATTCTATTTTTTAAGTTTTAGAAGCATTAAGTTTCATGAGGTATTTTTCCTTCTTACAGTTTACAGTCTTTATTTTTCTTTAAGATGAATTATTTCTTGTTCAATAAGGAATAAATGTTAATCAAACTTTTCCTATATTCACTTACATAGATGTCTTTTTTCCATGATAATGTCTTTGATGTTGAATAAGGTATAGATCACAGTTAAAAGTTTTTCCATAAATAACAAAGACTGAGAAGATAACAATGGTGATGGCTAAACTAACCAAGTATTTATTATGTGATGGGCACAACTGTAGAATCCCCATAACCAACCTCTGAAGTACACTAATGAGGCCCACATTTCCATAAACACATCATATATGCATACAAAAGGATCTGGAAGAATAAGTAAGTTGGTTATGTTGGGGAAATAACTAAGGTCGGGATGTTAGTCAAAGGGAAGTACAATTTTACCTATAATGTATAAATCAGTAAAAGCAGAAGAGAGCCACATGTTATCTCTAAAATGGACAACAAATAAATAAAGCAGACACATTCAAAAGGGGCCAACAAGGTAACTCTTTATAATAGCAAAAATTTCAGTATTTGACAAAATGGGGGTTTGATAAAAACAGGTAAATACTTTTAAGCCAATGGAATAGTAACAATATATTCACAGACAAAGAATATTAAAGGCTGGTTATAGCATAATCACACTTTCTCTCAAAAGCAATGCCAGATGTAATCTTACAGGATTTGCTCCAAAAATTTGACAGTGATTGTCTATGACTGGTAAGATTACAGATAACTGTAGCTATTTTTTTTTTACTCATATCTACATTTTTATGGAGGAAAATTGTTCTGCAAAAAGAATAGTATACGTTTCTAAAAGGAAAATAAAACAATCTTCCAAAAGGTACATATCCATAAGATACTAAAGGATATGTAAAAGTAACAGTAACTTAACACAAACAGGGTGACACACAGATACATAGACAGATATGCAAATTTTAAAAACAAAGACTGACCTGATATCGAAGCTTTATACGTATAAAAATAAACTTACCATCAAACATGCAATAAAAATATATAAAAATAGATATGGTTATTAAATAAATGGTGTTAGTATGAGAAATGGGGGAGGGGGAAAAAGGGTAAATTAGACCCTCAATAATTTAAAATAATTTTAAAATGCATCAGTAATTCTGTATACTTCACAAAAAATTAAGAACATTAAAAAGAAAGTAGCAGGGTTAGCCCCCAAATAAATTTTGATGCTTAAAATAAATGCAATATACAATAAAAAGGTTTTTCAACTTATAATATTCACAAGTATGAATTTTCTGAAAGTAATGAATTTAGATAAAAATATTCAAATATTTTATTCAGAGTGTTTATTTTCTGTATGAATTTTCTCAGACTGACTAACTGGTAAAGTATAAGTATATGTACCTTAATTACATTTGTAGGGACTCTCACTAGTATGAATTCTCTTTATTGTATGGTTCCTTAGTTATGTAGTTCCAATTTATAGAGTTTATCATTCACAGAGCTTCTTACCAGCATGACTTTTCTTATGTTGCTGAATTTCTGAACCCCTCTCCAAAGCCTTCCCACAGCCCTTACATTCATAAAGTTTCTCACCAGTATGTATTCTCTGATGTTGAGTACGGCTCAAGCCAGTACCAAAAGTCTTCCCACATTCCTTACATTCATAGGGTTTCTGACCAGTGTGTATCCTCTGGTGCCGATTAAGGGCTGAACCACTACTAAAGGACTTTCTACATTCTTTACATTCATAGGGTTTTTCACCTGTGTGAATTAGCTGGTGTTGAATAAGTTTTGAGCCACTAGCAAAAGCCTTCCCACATTCCTTACATTCATAGGGTTTCTCACCAGTATGAATTCTCTGATGTTGAGTGAGGTCTGAACCACTACTAAAGGCCTTCCCACATTCCTTACACTCATAGGGTTTCTCACCAGTGTGCATTCTTTGATGTTGAATAAGTTTTGAACCACTTCTAAAGGCTTTCTCACATTCCTTACACTCATAGGGTTTCTCACCAGTGTGAATTCTCTGATGTTGAGTGAGATCCGAGCCACTATTGAAAGCCTTCCCACATTCCTTACACACATAAGGTTTCTCACCAGTATGAATTCTTTGATGTCGAGTAAGGGCTGATCCAAAACTAAAAGCCTTCCCACATTTGTTACATATATATGGTTTCTCACCAGTATGAATTCTTTGATGCCGCGTAAGAGCTGAACCACTACTAAAGGCCATTCCACATGCTTTACATTCATAAGGTTTCTCACCAGTATGAATTCTTCGATGCTGAGTAAGGTTTGAACCACTGCCAAAGGCTTTCCCACAATCCTTACATTCATAAGGTTTCTCACCTGTGTGAATTCTGTGATGCCGAGTAAGGGCTGATTCAAAACTAAAGGACTTCCCACATTCCTTACACTCATAAGGCTTTTCACCACTGTGAATTATCTGATGTCGAATAAGGCCTGATCCAAAACTAAAGGCTTTCCCGCATTCCTTACATTCATATGGTTTCTCACCAGTATGAATTCGCTGATGGTGAGTAAGGTTTGAGCCACTACCAAAGGCCTTCCCACATTCATTACATTCATAAGGTTTTTCACCCGTATGAATTCTTTGATGGTAAGCAAGGTTTGCACCACTACCAAAGGCCTTGCCGCATTCTTTACATTCATAAGGTTTCTCACCAGTATGAATTCGCTGATGTCGAATAAGGACTGACACAAAACTAAAATCCTTCCCACATTCCTTACATTCAAGGAGTTTCTCATCAGTATGAATTCTCTGATGCTGGATATTGAAAGTGGGTATGTCTTCAGGAGTAAATATCATTTGACTGAAATGTCCTTCCTGAGATTCCTGTTTTCTCTCAAACTGGCTTTTACATTCCCAATCACCTCTGAAACTTGAACACTCAATGCTGTTTTTTATAAGTCTTTCCATTATCTCCCATCAGGATGATTCTATTCCATAAATCTCCTTTTTCAGAAATAATTCTTGGTCTCAACCTTGATTCACAGTCTGAAAGAAAATATAAAAACATTCACTTTTTTGTGTTCTGGGAGAAATGAAACTTTTATAATAGATAGGAAAAGACTTAACTGAAACTCATTTTCATATAGAGTGGCTTATACAGTTCTCATATATGATTGGGCATTTTGACAAACAGATAAGGAAACAGAATGAGAAGAAACACTAGAAGGTGAAGGAGTTATTTAGGAAAATAGATTAAGTCAATTGTTCCTAAATAGTGATTTAGATAAAAATACCCTAAAGACATGGGGAGCTCAATAAATATAAAGATGTCCAGGCCCCAACTCAATTTTGTTAACTAGTGTCATATACATTTAAAAATGAGTATAATTATCATTTAACCCATTTCTTAGGGTTGTTTGGAGCTTTAAGTAACTACACCTGGAAGGAAAAATCTAGGCTAGATGGTCATAAATTGCATATAATCTGATGGAGATAGAAGAGAAAGTTACTTCAGATGTAGCAGTATCTTGATGAAAGATTAATGAGGGGCTTCCCTGGTGGCACAGTGGTTGAGAGTCCACCTGCCGATGCAGGGGACACAGGTTCGTGCCCCAGTCTGGGAAGATCCCACATGCTGCAGAGCGGCTAGGCCCATAAGCCATGGCCGCTGAGCCTGCGCGTCCGGAGCCTGTGCTCCACAACGGGAGAGGCCACAAGCGTGAGAGGCCCACGTACCGCAAAAAAAAAAAAAAATATATATATATATATATATATATATATATATAAATGAACTGAGTAAGTCTGGAATGAGCAATAGAGAGTGAAGATTCTGTTGTGGCTAGAATATAGTTTGTTTATGCCATTTGGTAAAATCCAAAGTCTTGAGGCTAACCTTGGGAGAACCTTGAGAGAACAAAAAAGGGGACTTAGCAAAGGCCAAAAGCAGAGTAATTGAGAATGTAGTTTTAAAATCAGAGAAAAGGGACAAGAAGATAGGAGGTAATGTGATACTTCTGGAAAATTACAAGGAGGATGCAGATAGATGAGTACTCTGAACCCCAGCTCTGATGGTTATTGAAATAATTCTGAAATCACATTAATGTATTGATATTTACACCATTGTATAAAATAACGCCACCGTGTTTGGTAGCTATTATTTTGGAAGACTTATATGCCATAAAAGTGACCAGGAAAATAAAAGGATTCAGAGACATCAATTAAGACCCTGAACAAATAAATAACTCAAGCCACAAAAGGTGAAAACATTTCAGCTCTATTCTCTTCCTACAATACTCAAACAGCAAGCTTGTTTAGGCTCGGCCTAAAAATGTCTTGAAATTGTTCTTTCCATTCCCACTGTCAGTAGATAATTCTAGTCAAAATTATCTTTTACTTGGATATGAAAGCAGTATTTTATCTAGCTGCTTGCATTTCCAGTTTTCCACCCTTAACAGCCAGAGTGATATTCAGTCTGGCACTGTTCCGCTCAGAATGCTTCAATGGTTTCCCACTGTCCCTCGGATAAGACCCACACTCCTTAACTTGGTCTTTAAAATTCCTCAGAGACCTGCCTACTGCCTGCCTCTTCAAGATGATACCTCTCTCCTATCAGCAATAAGCCATAGTTACACTGGCCTTACTTCGTTCTTCAAATGCACTAAACTGTAACATGCCCCTCCCCCAACAATTTAATCTGCTTGAAATATTCTTCCATACCTCCCTTCCCACTGCCCCCACTCTTCACCTGCAAGTTCCTGGTCATTGTTCAGATCTCTGCTAAGTAGCATACCCTAATAAAGATCTTTTCTGAATACTCAGTCTTAATTTTGCACATCTCGCCATTATTTCTCAAAGCACTTTTTAAACTTTTCTTTTTTTCTTCCTTTCTTTGTGTTTAGTGTTTGGTAATGAATGATTACACATTTATCCCCTACAATTGAAAATTTCCTATACTTTTAAAAGCCTTTATTGAATTTGTTACAATATTGCTTCTTAGTTTTGGTTTTTTGTCCCCAAGGCACGTGGGATCTTAACTCCCCGACCAGGGATCAAACCGCAACCCCTGCGTGGGAAGGTGAAGTCTTAACCACTGGACCGCCAGGAAGTCCCCAGCAAATTTCATATTTTTTTGAATGTTTGCTTAATGTCTGTCTGCTACCACAGAGCCAAGAATGAGGAAGGCAAGGGTAATGTCTGTTACTTTAGTCAGCTTGAACCCTGGCACACACAAAAAGATCAAAATACATTTACTGAATGGCTAATATAATAAATTAGTCTCAAAATTCATTACTCTTAAAAATAAACTAAAAACAATATTTCTCTAGAAAAGGATATACTTTCTCTCAAACAGTGAAAGTGAATCACATGTGGTTATTCCTGTCCTTTAAAAAAATCTCACTAAAAGGAATGAACTGGCTTTTTAACAAAAGGAACCCACAAAGTCAAAGAAAATTGAAGAGGAAATAGCAACAAAACTTTTGAGGCTGGAAAGCATGAAGAGAAATGACGAACAACTTAACAAAGAAAGATGAAACCTAACCCAAAAGTAAGGAAAACCCAGAAGGAGATGATTTATGCTGCAAACCCCAGAAAGGCTTAAGAAATGGGAGCATTACATACTTAAGAAGGTCTACTAACTGGCATACAAAAAGTTAAATCAGCTTCTCAGTGTCCACTCTATAATACTGGTACTCTATAATACTGATACAAATATCATCATTTGAGGAAATCCTGTAACATAAAAGAGATTAAACAAGCCCAAAGGAACTTAGAAGAGAAACCACATAGGAAAACAAAATTCCAGAAGCCACCACTAATATCTTCAGAGGGATATGAGAAGCCATTTCACATGATAGAAGCATAGGATAACATAAAAGGAATGAGGCAAAAAAGAATACTTAGAAAATGAAAATATAAAGTGGGAATAAAAACATATCATTAGAAGAGTTAAAGGATAAATGAAAAATCTCTTTAAAAAGTACAAAATTATGGAAGTAGAAAATAGGAAATGTATAACACAGGGAACTATATTCCTATATAACCTATAATGGAAAATAATCTGAAATATATACATATGTGTATATATATATATATATATAACTGAATCACTTTGCTGTACACCTGAAACTATCACAATATTGTAAATCAACTATACTTCAATTAAAAAAATAACAGAAAATAGGAAAGACATTGGAAGGTCATGCAAGCCAGGTCAACATCTAATGGGAGATCATTCTTGAAAGGGTGCTAAGCATCTGCCAAGTATCAGGCAGGATGTTAGAAGGAATGAAGGAATCTGAAAATTGCCATTTTGAAATCACCAATCTAATAATTGATTCAGGCAAGGATTCTCAATGGATTCTAAAATCAGAAAGTGAATGGTCAAGATAACGGATATTCACTTAGTCTCTTAGCATCAATGCACATATGATTTACTAATTAAAAAGGGAAACATGTACCTTTATACTGGGAAGGTTTGGTACTCAGTACCATCATTTAACCTTAAATGATGAAACTTGGTATCATCAACAGTGGAACAACCTGACACTCTGCCTTCTGATGTAATGCAATAGAATACACCGTACCACCTTTGTCAAAATAGGTAAGCTGAATCTAAGCCTCCTATTTCCATAAGAAAACCATCAGACAAATGGAGGTTGTGAGACATTCTATAAGGCAACTGTCTTGAATTCAGTGTCATATAAAACAAACAAAAATGAGAGGCTGTTCTAGATTAAAAGAGACCAATGAAGCCCAACAACCAAAATAATACATGAATCCCGATTGGATCTGAGATCAAGCAAACAAACAACCAAGTAAATAAACAAAAACATAACATCAGCTAAAAAAAGATATTTGGGGGAACCACTGGAGAGATTTGAACATGAAATGTTTGAGGTGGTACTAGTGAGTTTATATTAATTTTCATAGATTTGATATGTCATTGTTATTGTTTGGAAAATGTCCTTATACTTAGGAGATGCACGCTAAAAGTATTAAGGGTAAAATGTCAGGATGTCCCCAACTTATTTTCAAATGATTCAGGGGAAAAAAATGGACACGCATGCACACACACGCGTGTGTGTGTATTTAGAAAAATAAAGCAAATGTGGTAAGATGTTAACAATTGGTGATTTTAGCTGATGGCTATATGGGGCAAAGAACTGAATATTATTTCTAATTTTCTGTATGTTGGAAAACTTTCAAAGAAAACAGAAACCAGAAACAGATTGTTTTTAAAAGTAGCATTTAAGAAGATTTTCCAGAACTGAAGGACACAAATCTCCACATTAAATGGGCTCGCTTGGTACCTAGTATAAAGAATAAAAATTATTCACACTAAGATATAATTTCATTAGGTTCCAGGACAGTAGGAACAAAGAAAATACCCTAAAAGAATTCAAACAGTAAAAACACAGTGCATAAATAAAAGACCAGGAATGAAATTAGCTTTGGAGTTCCCAAAAATATTCTAAGCCAGAAGACCTAAGTTCAAATTTCTGAGAGAAAATAATAATTAGAATCCCATGCCCTGCCAAAGAACCAATGCACTGGTTGAAACAGCCCTTTCAGATATGCTAGAACTCACAACAAATTTAACACATTTATCTCTTCTTACGTGCCATCTACATCGAAAACCCATTTTGATATCTGGAGTTTTCTTGGAGTAAACCAAGAAACAGGAAGGAAATAAATAGGAATTCATAGTCTTGCCATGATTTCCATGTGAAAGGTAGAGACTTGATTGGGAAAGAATGATATCCTTAAATATGGAACTGGGACATCTGGTTGGGACCCAGATGAAACTGACAATCTTGAACCTCCAACTTGCTTTGGGCCTCTCTTACCAGTGGAGGAAGCTTGCAATCCAGTGTCCGGGAGACTAGCTTTCCTCTGACTGAAAACCCTATAATAACATCACCTGGAGCAGTACCTGAAAAGGCATGCTAATTCTCCTCATGACCCACCAGAACCATTCTGTTGCCACTAGACCTGTAACAAGGGTCCAACCTCAGCATGTTCCAGAGGAACAAGTAGATACTATG